TTTTTTTGTTCTTTTTAGTTGTATCATCGTTTAGGAATCTCCTGACATCTGTTGCTTGAGGGATGTGTAAAGTTTGTCGAAGTTTGAAGATACGGAGTTGTTCAAAGAATTGACGCTTGTCTTGTAAAATGTGATCTATATACGTAATATTAATTACGTATGTATATTTGTTATTAACTACACGTGTATATTTAATTTGTAAATTTATGTGTAAAGTTTGTCGATGTTTGAAGGTGTGGAGTTGTTCAAACAATTGACGTTTGTCTTATAAAATATGTTCTCTATACGTAATATTAATTAACGTAATATTGTATATTAACGTACGGTATTAACTACATATGTATATTTAATTTGTAAATTTATCTAATACACGCGCTATATAAGATTCAACATCAGTATATGTTTCTAAGAATCCATGAATTTAAGAAAAAGTTTTAACATTACAAATGAATCACTGCTTCTAATACCAAGCGCTTCCGCGTCTGACCAACAATGTCTCGATCTACTGCCACGTAGTACGCGACACACTTTCGTTTCATCATTTCATCCGCGAAATCGATCGACTAACACGTCCGCGTCAATTTTCAATTACCGACTGTCTCAAACAAGGTAACTCCTCCGTGTTTTCATTCTCACGGGAACACAAAGCAACGCAAGAAGAAACTTGCTTTTAATTCATCGCCAACTTGCTGCAACAGTTTCTAGTTAAGATGTAGCTCGTTTAATAGATTACAAGAATTTGTGAAGAATATGCAAATTTAATTTTTCGCTCGTGTTCCACCGGAATCTCTCTTGCTAATCGTGAAAAGAATGGGGAACAGTTTAAAACTTTCGTTTAAACTACGACTGAAATTGGACAAAGAGAGCGTAAACGTATTCCCGCGGATTTGTGCGCGGCCTTTGGCGCGTTAAACTCGCGTTGAGGGGACAGGGTATTTAAAGCCGGGTCGTTTCTGATTTTAGGATGTCTCGAGGGCAGGCAGGCTGGTCGGACGAGCCGTGCACGTCGACCGGAGGCCGAGGCGCGCGTCAGTCGGCAGGACCATCGTCGAGGACGACGCCGCCCATTCTCGAGGACCGCACTTCCGGCACCGCGTCGTGCAAAGGTGGATTCAGGTTAGGCGTTTACGGATGGAGGAAGAGATGCTTGTACTCTCTGGTCCTCGCTCTCATGGTCATCGTGATCCTGAACCTGGCGCTCACCTTATGGCTGCTCAAAGTCATGGGATTCAGTTCCGTAAGTTACTCGAAATTTGTAATATTAAATCGCGTTTGAACCAGTTCGTATGATTTTCGGAGAGATTAGATCATTGGTCTCGCAAATTATTGACGTTCAAAAAGCGTTTGTTAATGTCTGAAATGTAACGTGACGTATAATATCCGGACTGATCTCTAGCTCTGGTTCATTTACTTCAATTTACTTTCAATTACTATTATCAGTGATCACATCGAGGTGCAATTGTAAAATTGTTGAAATTATCTGTCACGTAACGAAGCGAAGAAAGAGAAATTACAAAGGCAAGCGTTTATTCGCGTCGGACAGTTCAAGAATGGAAATTCTGTCGTGCGAAATCACGTGTAGAGGGAAAAATTTTCCACGGCGGGGTCTTAAATCCCCGGCGTAGCTCAGGAACAAGGTTCGCCACGTTTACACAGAAATGTCCACGCTCCATCTCCCTGGGCTCTCATCTTTGATAAAAACATGCCGCGGTAATCAGCTGTCCTTACAAAAATTCAAATTCGCACTCCGGCCGTCTCTGCACAAAGAAGAATTAATATTCCCGGCGTTCTTTCGCCCAGGCGAACCCCTGCTTTTTACCCCGGCGTCGAAATTATTTCCGGAATCGCACGCTGCATTTCTTTATGAAGCACCTCTCTCTCTGGTCATTTTCGCCCCTGACTCGCCGGCGTGGCCGTCTGTGCGTGTTATTTCGTCGCGAGATCGTTGACTTTGACATTCGCGAACAGAAACGGCGTGCACCGTTCAGCTGGCAACTCGGTCGTCGATGAAAATCATCGAGGCTGAGACGCTTTCATTCGATAATGATGCTGGATTTCACTCTCGCCGATGCAAATACGCTCTGTCTCGCGTCGCTTGTTGCACTTGCGGTGAGTGCTATTCCAACTGCGAACGCCGATTAGAGAGACCGAGTCGAGTGGAATTGGTACGGTTTGTTCGGACGCCAGAGGGATGGTCCAACGTGATGGAGAGTCTGGCGATTTTAATATCGCCGGATGGTTTTTGAATGGAGTGATATATTGTTGACTCGAGCCGGTTATGGCTGATAAGAAGACGAATCGAATCATCTGTCATGTCGGACGTTTATCAAGCTCCGGTTTAAGCTCTAGTTTAAGCTCCGCGCGGCGGCTTTCGCTTTGTATGTTTCGAGAAAACGAACAGAAAGGTTTTATCCTTTGTAATTTTTCTTCTTTTTCTCTCTTTCCCTCCGTTGGCCATCGGGCAAGTTCTCTACGTCTTGCGAATTGGAATATTATTAATATCTATTTGAGCACGATTCACTGTTGTGTATCAGACAGATTACACATTTATCTTAGCAAAGAAGTAAAATTATTAAATTGTTAATATTAAAAAACAAAATTGTTTGAATATTCTACAACGCGCTTGATAATCAAAATCGATGGAAAATATTAACTTAAAATACACAGCCACGTTGATTTAAATGTTTCAATTAATGCGCGCGTGCCAAACAACGCTTCTGTCGATACCAAACACTAAACGAATGCCTGTCTGGCCATTCGCGTCTCGATCTACTGGAAAGATACGCACGCTACTAAACGCACCACCAACTTTCATTCCCTTTTGCCAAACGCTGTATCGCGTGCTGTATCGCCCACGTCGCATCTCTTGGAACGAAACTCCTTACACACCCGGCGAAACTTCGCCTAAACGTTCCCCTTCCCCCTCCCCTCCCCCGCTGTAACGCACTGTAACGCGCCTCCTAATAAAATCAATTCCCGTCACGTCGTTGGAAATTAGTTTCACGCGAGTTGCGCCGCTGAAACAACACAGTCCCGGCTGCCTGGTTGCAATCTATACAACCGGTTACCAACACAGATAAGACACTCACGCCACGCGAAACGAAGAGGAAGGGAGGCAAGCTGGTTAATATAATTCGCCGTAATTGCCGGAATCGTTGCATCCCGGAAATCGTCGTTTACACTTGCCGCTTCTTTACCTGACCCGGCCTCATTCACCGCTTATAATTAACCCAAACCCCTTGATGGTGGTGGTGTTTCGGCTGAACCGAAAGCCGGGGGGCGGGAGATGCGAAGGGAGACGCTCGTTAACGAAGTTGCCACGCCTGATAACGAACTCGTCGAAACGAGCCCGCGATCGTTAGAAAAAGCGGCCGCGTTCTGCTTCTGTTCCTGTTGTTTCATTATCGTTTATCGCCGAAAATCCTGCCGCACGGGACGCGATATTTAATGGCGTTGAGTAATATCGCGGAGGACGGCGTAACCTTTTCGACTGCCGCGGATTTATCGTGGCCGCGTGCGAGCCGCTGCGAAACCATAGTTCGATAGAGGTTCCGCGTAATTAACGCCCTCCAGCGCCGAATTTATACGATTTGCCAATGGACCAATTTCGATTTTTCGATCGGATCCGAATGAAAATCTCTCCGCGACGCGCGGAGAATCGTCGAACAACGTAATAACGCGAGTTACTCGAGACAAATGCACTCAAATTCATTGAAATTCTTCATTGGAACTCTTTGAACTGTCAATTTTGTTGCGAACGTGTTTTTGTGAACAAATCTGACAACTCTGATTTTTACCTGATTTTTTTCTGTGATTTTAATGTATCGAAGAACCGAATTTTGATATCCGCACTGGTAAGGAGATTTCAAGTTCCTTCGTTAGAAACGAAAATGTTTTTATTTTTACTACCGATGTCGATAAGCCGGCTGCCCGCGGTGCATTCATTTACGGAATATCGCGAAATTCTGTGAAATCAATTCGAGAAGTCGTCGAGGCAAATATACGATGTATACTCAGGAATCCCAGTTTATAGCGCTATCCATCAATGAAGTAATTTTATTCGAGCGTCTCTCGTCTCCGAACCCAAGTGTACGAGAAAACGATCGATGGTTTATTAACTTAATCACCTTGAACAACCGTCAAATGCGAAGCCTGTCTCTGATCGTAGATTTCGTCTCCCGCATCTCAATCAAAAATTACAACCTCTATGGGATTCTTGAAGTTATTAAATATACCTTTGAATATATTGATTTACTTAATTGTTTCGAATAAACGACGGCGAGAAATCCCTCTTTCACATACATATATTTACAGGAAGGAAGAAAAGAAGTAAAAGCAAGCGTCGAGGTAATAGGATCGTGTAAGATCAGACGATATTATGACGAAAGAAAATCAAAGATTGTAGCAGAGAATGTAGTATATGGTATGATACAATGTAGTAACGAATAACAAGCGTCAAATATAATAGGTTGTGTGAAAGAATAAAAAAAGAGAGATTTACCAACGCTTTATATAAAATCTTTTCACAATTACGTCACATTCTCTAGTCGTCCATTTTACGCCAAATCGATGACAAATTCTTCAAGTCAACACGTACTATTAAAACTGTCATTGTGTTTCAATTTCAATTTTTTTAGCGTATAAAATGCATATATTCTTCCATATAAAAATTCAATCCAATAAAAGTACATTGATTTACGTATAGCCGACAGCCAAATCACAAATAGCATCCAAATTTATAATCCATCGAATATAACATGACGATCATGATGAAACATTGACCGAATCTGTAAACACCAGAATAATTCTCACCGCGTCTCATTCGAGAATCATACTACATTACTTTCTTAATCGGATCGATGACATCTCTGTCGAATTTTCGAGAATTATTGAAATCACCACTGTCTCCAATTTCACTTTCTATCCCCACCAATCGCCACGTGTCGGATCCTCGAAGTAGCACGCTCATTAAAAAAAAAAAGATATCCGCTGTCTGGCCACCGCGAACGAACGATTTTTCTTCCCGCAATAACGGCGATACGGGATGTCCGCTTTATTTACGACTCGCGAACAGGAAAAGCGACACGCATTACTCACCCAGCGTCAAGGTGAATCGTTCGGGGAGGAGCGGCACACACACCGGCGGCAAAGAACACGCTTCGAAGAAACAAGGGAACGGAACGCTCTGTCTGTAGCTGTAAGAGGAACGTCGACGATGCAACAGGATGAACGAAAGAGAGATAGATAGCTAGATAGATAGATAGATAGCTAGATAGATAGATAGAGAAAGAGAGAGAGAGTGAGCAGGAGAAACACAGAGGAAATCGGTGCAAGTAGAAGATAGCGGGCTCTCGAGTACACAGCCTCGCGCGCGAGAAACGAAGGAACGAGGGTGGGAAAGAACTAGCGGGGGCTTACATTTCCCACGGGGTATCCCGTGCTTGCTCGCAGACTCCTTACTTACGGATTGATACTCAATTTCCAGCGAGTTTAGCCCCTATCGGGGGGATCGTTGCGCCTGATCGCGGCGGCCCCCCTTTCGATTTCAAATAAATTCGATAATGGTGGATATATAGGCGGCGAAGAGTTACAGGGGCGCGGGACGGTGTAGCGCACTCGGAACTGGGATATAGAAAGGGATTTCTCCATCGTCTTTACCTTAATCGACAGGGTTCAGACGGGAAGAGCGAGCGGCTGCCTCGCCTCGTCTGGCTTGTCGATGGAACCGACCCAACCCTCGATGGACGTACGACGATTTACGAAGAACGTAAGGCATCTTTCCGAGGTTCTCTCGATTCGAACCGTCGTCGACGATCATCGTTCATCAACGGTGTCGAGCGCTTGATTATTGCGGCTCGATGCATGCGATATGTCGTGCTCCTACTGCGCCCAGTCTATGTCCATTAAATTTTGTCCTATCGAATTTTATCGATGTCGGAAGGGTGTAGAGATCGGCACAAATTCGACGATATATATATATATATATAGATTTATAATGAAAATATATAGATCAACTTTTCGACTGACTCGATTTTTTTTTTTTTTTTTTTTTTTTGTTTACCCGGCCGTGGGGTTTAAATTTGAAGAGTTGCTAGAAAACGTGAAAATTTCATTAAAACTTTATTATTAACTGAAACTTTATTACATCAAATATTCGTGTGATTTTTTTTTTAAATTTAAATTTAAATAGAGCGTCGCGAAAGTTGTTAGGAATATCGAAAAATTCGGGGAAGCATA